GGGTCAGCAAAAAAGGGGAAGACCCTCAATGAGATGGGGTCACACGGTGGCTGGAACAATGGGCAAGAGGAAGGCCCTCAATGAGATGGGGTCACACGGTGGCTGGGACCGTGGGCTCAAGCACAGCAAGGATTGGGAGGCTGACGCAGGGCCGGGCAGTGGGCAGGGTTTCATTCTGTGCACGGGATCGCTGTGAGTCGGAACTGACTTGATGGCACCGAACAACAATAACATAACTACATGTAACGTACATACATATATGTCTATGTGCATGTATCCAAACATCAAACCCACTGCCACTGAGTCAATTCCAGCTCATGGTCATTCATAAGGAGGGGCCAGGACGGAACCGTGGGAGGAGCTGGGGGAGGGGCCATCCAGGCAGAGCACAGGGCACGTGGGGAGCCCGTGGCGGCACTCTCAGGGCTTCCTCCCCCATGACGTGGCGTGGTTCCGTGGGCAGCTTGGTGGCACCATTGCAGGTTGTCTCCTCATCGTTGGTGACTCGGTGTCGATTTCTTCCTGTTGACCCGGGGTAAACCCTCGGCCCCTGACTTACTCCCTGCCGTGCGAGGGGTGGTGGTGCCGATGAGGATGGTGACGGCCCTCTTTTGCCTTCGCAGGGTCCACAGACTGTGTGTGTTACTCGACGGTTGGGACCAATGATGCAGAGACCTCAGCCCTGCACATCGTCATCGGTGGGTGCTGCTCCGCTCCCTCGGCTGCCCTGTGCTTATGGCACTGAAGGCCGGTGGCTGGCCGCCCACTGCCCTTGCAGCCAGCTCGTCCGATGTCTTTCCTCACAGCCAGCTCGTCCGATGTCTTTCCTGGCTGCACCTCTCTTCCTGTCCAGCTGCAGCTCCCCGGCTCGATCCCATCCAGTCCTGCTTCCGCCGCAGTCGGCCCAGGACCACCATGCCTCGTGGCCCACCCACCTTGCCTTCTGGCCTCTTCTGTCCTGGGACATGGCAGATGCCCTGTGTTGGTGCCCTGCCCTGCCCCCACTCTGTCCACATGCCACGCCTCTAACTCATTTGGGGTCTCACTTGTCATACACCCCGTTTTTCCCCTGCACCCCCTGTCCCCTCGCCGTCCCTCTACCTTCTTCACAGGCTCTGTCACTGTAGGTCTCACTTGTTTCCCGCGCTGTCACCTCACTGTCCCCAGCACACACACTCTCCAGGAGGGCAGGACACCGGCTGTGCTTGGCACCGGGCAGCTCCCTGGGGTCCCGGTCACTCTTCATGGCCGCTGATGGCTGAGTGCGCGAGTGGCTGGCAGCTGCTGTGGTCGGCCACCTGGCCGCTCAGCGTCCACTCTCAGCCTGGGTAGCAGTCCAGCTAAGCGCCTGCTTTGTGCCCTGGACCCACAGGGAGCAGCAGCTCCTGGAAGCTGGTGCCCGTGTGACAAGCACTGAGCTGCCAGCTTCCTCTCACAGCCCTGTCCCTGGGGACGGTGTTACTCTGCGAACCAGAAGTAACAGACATTTGACGTGTAAAAATTCTGCCTTGTTCACCGTGTATTTGAGAATGCCACACGCCTTCCTTTCAGTGACAGGAGGCAGCTTTGTGTGACAATGGACACACTGTGTTCCAACTTTCCCCAAGCCTGTTTCCAACCAGGGAGGTTTGGTCCCTGGAAACGGCCCCAGTACCATGGTGCCCCGAGAGAAACGGGTCAGCATGCTGAAGCCGCCCTGCCCATTGCCTGAATCATGTAACCATCCGCAGAGGCGGCCCAGGGCGGTGTCCTGCCCGTTCCCTGAATCATGTAACCCGTCCACAGAGGAGGCCCCGGGGCAGTGTGAAGGGCTAAGCGCTCGGCTGCTGAGCAAAGGGGTAGACACTTGCGTCACCCAGAGGCCCCGTAGAAGAAAGGCCTGGAGGTCTACTTCTGAAAGATCCGCCCCTGAGCGTCCCACCCTGACACCAGGGGGTGCCACGCATCAGAGTCAGCTCCACAGCGACGGAGGGCTGCGGGAACAGTGTGCCATGGGGCCCGGGTCCTGCAGGGAAGGGCGTGGCGTGGGGCCTGGGCCCTGCTGGGAACGGTGCAGCATGGGGCCCAGGTCCTGCTGGGAATGGCGTGCCATGGGGCCCAGGTCCTGTGGGGAGTGGTGTGGCATGGGGTCTGGGTCCTACCGGGAATGGCATGGCGTGGGGTGGAGGGTTCAGCGCGCTTACAGTGGGCGTCCTCTCTGCAGGAGACTCGCTGCCCATGGACGTGTCCTCAGTGCACCACAATGGCGCCCTGCTGCGGTACTCCGTGTCCCTGCTGGGCTACGGCTTCTATGGGGACATCATAAAGGACAGTGAGAAGAAGCGGTGGATGGGCCTTGTCAGATATGACTTCTCAGGTAGCTCCCACTGTCACCTGCAGCAGCAGACCCGCTGCCCCCTGGATGCCCCTACGCCCCTCACTTGACATGATCAGGCCAGTGGAGGGTCCTTGAGGCGAAGACGCCCACCTGCAAGCAGCCTGGGACCCGCCTCAGTGTGGCCGGTCTCTCACTGCTTCCAGGACTCGGAACACAAGGGCAGTGCCCCAGACATGTGCCCAGCATGGAAGCCAGAGACCCTTCAGGGCCTTGGTGACGGTACTAGCCTGCAGACCACGCAGATGCCATGCCTTCCAAAAGTGGCCCGTGGGCGGCCCTCCCACAGCCCCTTAGCATTAGGTGGTGGGTGCCCAACGTTGCTGAGGCTGTCAGCAGAGCAGCATGACCCAGCAGTGACCCTGCGGACTTCTCATCCACCATGTCTGTCCCCAGGTTTCAAGACCTTTCTCTCCCATCACTACTATGAAGGGACAGTCTCTTTTCTCCTCGCTCAGCACACGGTGGGCTCTCCACGGGACAGGAAGCCCTGCCGGGCCGGGTAAGCACCTTCCTACGTCTGTCACAGATGGTGACGTGCACACAGTGGGGTTGCAGGGGTTGTGTTAAGGGGAGAGCACAGAAGTCCGGGGTCGCTGACTGGGTGTGTGCAGAGCCCGGTGACGCAGAGAGCTGTGGCCCAGCCCCACGCCGCGGGCAGGGCAGCGTGGTCCCCGTGCTGCAGTGGGGACAGGAGGGAGGGTGGTGGGGAGGCCAGGCCGCACCTCTCCCATAGTGGGGGAGGGGGGACATCCATGCACCTGCTTCTGGGGGATGGACGCGTTGTCCCCTGTGGGGGTCAGGGGATGCTGCTTGCAGGGCTGGGTGGAGCACTGACCACGCGGAGAAGGAGGGGGAAGTCAGGAAGAGAGCAGGTGGGCTTCTGGACTCAGGGCCCAGGAAGCTGCCCGGGGAAGGGGTGCAGAGGGGAGCTGGTGGGCTCTCAGGTGAGGCAGAGGCCCTGGCCCCCTTGGCCGGCCAGCAGTCCACATGCAGGAGCTGTGAGGGCTGGGGGTGCCCCAGCTCCTCAGGAGTAAGCCCAGCCCTGGGAGAGCAGTGGTGCAGGCCCAGCTGAAGGTGGCGGGGGGGGGGCTCTGCCCACCAAGCCCTCCCAGGAAGCCCCTTCTTTACTGGCCCAGGCCCAGGAGTGGCCACAGACGCTGCCAAGGGCCCAGCCCTGCGGCCCCGGCCTGGAAGTCAGCACGGCTGCAGCCGCTCTGACCTCCCCTGGAGTTTGCACGTGGCTGGGCCCTCTCTCCGTGTGCCTGTGTCTCTGTGCACGAACACCGTCCTTCCTTTAGGCCTGGTGAACGCCCCCTCACCCACCAGAGTGCAGAAGCTTAGCCAAACTTCATGGCGAGCTGTGCTGGGGCCGTGTGACCACATCCCTTGTGGTCAGCCTCCCCTCTCTGCTCTGCACGGTGGGTGGAACCCCACAAAGCAGCCGGGTTTAGAAAATGCTCACGGTGACCCTACCCTTTTAAGTCGTTCGGGGAGCCCTGGTGGCACAGTGTGTGAGCGCTTGCCCACTAACCGACAG